GCTCAAGCTGCGTGTTTGTTGACATTTTGCTGTAGATTCTTCAAAGACATGGCTCCTGCAAAGGCAATGAAGGCTACCAAGGCCAAGAAGGTTGCTATGAAGGCCATGAAGGGTCAGAAGGCGATGTCCAAGGGAGGCCTTGCCACTGAGTTGGCCAATGCCACGGAGATGAAGAAGAGTCAGATCACCAGCATTTTGAATTCTTTGGCTGAGATTGGTGCAGGGGAGGTGAAGAAGACTGGCAAGTTCACTCTTCCAGGGCTCTGCATGATCAAGACTCGCCAGAAGAAGGCCACCAAGGCAGGCAAGAAGATGATGTTCGGCCAGGAAGTGATGGTGAAGGCACAGCCAGCGAAGACTGTGGTGAAGGCATTTCCGGTGGCAGCTTTGAAAAGCCAGATCTGAAGCCATGGTTCTTTAGGCCATGGAGCTGTAGCCGAAAACGGCTAGTGGCACCTTGGGGGATTGGAGCTGAACTAGTTGTTGGAGGCACAGCCTGTTGTACACTATCGTTGGATGGGCTTGTCAGCCAGTTGAGTCCAAAAAGCAGCGCCGGTTAAAGACACGCAGATCGGCGTGTGGAATGAAAGCGAATTAATTTGCTTCGGTGTTCTTCCGCTGAGGCTGAGAAGGGTGCGACACGACAGCGGCGGGCACAGTACAACCGCGCTATTCTACCAGAGGCTGGGCGGAGCTGCGTTGAGCTGGTTTAGAATTAAAACTAACCTAAATAATTTCTAATAGCTTCTTGCTACTAGTAGTAAGGCCAGGAGCCCCTAGTAGCGTCCTTGCTCCTAGTAGCGATGCCCTTTGTTCCTAGTAACTAGCTTCTTGCTCCTAGTTCAAACTCCAGGGCACTCAAAATTTGGATTGCCACTCTCAGTAAGCTTCACATTTTCTCCACATGTTGGAGGGAACCGCTCGATGAAGCACTGTTAAGTCTCTTTTTTCTCAACCGAAGTGCAAACGAAGTGCAAACACTGCACTTTCTGCTCGGGCACCGCCAATGAGTCTTTTCCTCGGCTTCTTTGGTCTTGGCTCCCTGACGGACGGCGTCGCATCAGCACTGCGTTCGGGAAATTTGCGAAGAGAACAAACAATTCTTCGTTTTCACAGAAAATAGTAATTTGTAGAACAAGTTGTAGAAAACCATTTGCAGAAAAGTCATTCGCATCTTAGTGACTTAGTGCCAACATCTATCTCTAACTTCGACTGGCTCAGCGACCTACTTGCGCATGAAGTGGTAGCAAGAGAGTCTTTTGTGACGCCGCTTCATGGAGACCCTCAGCGAGTCCAGCACTGGTGAGGATGCCAAAGGTGTGAAGCGAGCATAAGCGAGCTATGGCTATGATTAAAAATTAGTGCCGGTGGCTAGCGGTGCTGGTGGAGTCTGCAGAGAAAGAACAGTGAGACAATGCAAAACACACCTGACCCGTTTGATCTCTTCAGTTGCTAAGGTGAACCCTTCTACCAAGCCAACAAAGAGGCACACAGGCTCACCATGCTGAAAGCACTTCCAGAAGCTACCATGAGTTTATGCTGTTAGATGGTGGTTCATGGGCTTGGGTCTGCATTTGCCCAGATCAACCGACTGAAACCGAACTTTTCTTTGGAACTTCTTGCACACGCACCGCAAACGCACACAGAGAGCACACGCACCGCATGGACTGGTGGCCTTGGTCGGGTGTTTTTTGGCTCCAGCGATTTCCCGCAGCGGTAAAAGTCCAACTGTGTTCCAGTGAGACAGGCGGGCACGGCTGGGCGCGGCGGGGTCATGCCCAAGAGCTAAGAGACCTTTCTTTTGAACATCTCTCTTTTGCCAATCTGTTGGAGAGGGGAGGCTGTGAAGAAGCGGGAGTAACTAGTAGCAATGGGATATAAGGGGTAGTCTAGCAGCCCAAGTAGCTAGCTTGGATGCACTCTCGCACTCTCTCAGGCTTGATCGCTGCTCGGCGAGAAAGTCTTTTTGTGAACCTCTTCTCATTATTCGACACCGAAGGGTTTTTCAGCAATGACACAGCCCGACGGATTAGCTGTACTGCCAGGTGTGGGTCATGTCTTGCTGCTGTGGAGAGCCAGAGAAGGACCCTGAGGCCAGGAAAGCAGGCTGAAGGGTTTGAGAACATGCCATCAGCCTTCCACGTAGCGGGCGTACGATTGCACCGCAAGTATAGCGCAAGCTGGGGTTTTGCCCGTCGAAGCGCCGCCGTCGAAGGAAGAGAACGTGACGCGAGCTGACGAGTCAATGGCTGAGATACATTCCAAGGAAAGCTACTAGTAGCAAAGGGCATCGCTACTAGGAGCAAGGACGCTACTAGTAGCTCCTGGGATTACTACTAGGAACAAGAAGCTACTATATAGTAGCAAGGATACATTCCAAGCAAGCGCAGCAAAGCGCACTGAAGTCTGCTATGCGTGTTGCTTGTTCAAAGCAGAGCAGTAGAACATCCTCATGCACTCCTTGCTTTGATTTGTGTCCTTCTCTTTATGTGACCTTTTGCCTCTTTCATAGTTCGATAGTCGTGCTTCTCCTCCTTATTACATGTCTATTTGTGGATTCTTCACAATGTGGTCAATCTGAAAATGCTTAGTTTCCAAAAACATATCGGAACCAAATCCTCAGTGCGAGCGTGAGCTGTCCTATCCCTTCCTCTATCCGACCCCCCGAACTTAAACGCAAATAATATAGAAACAAATACAATAAAACATACATATATTATCATATATTGATATTAATAAACATCAAATTTCCAAGGCCGAAGCAGTTTGGTCCTGCTCCAAATCGGAGCTGCACCGATTGCTGGTGCTTGATTGTCCTGCTGGCCTCATGGGTGGCATGGTGCGTGGCCGGGAGACCTGAAGGTTTTCGTAGTAACAAGTGCATCGCTAGTAGTAACAAGTGCCTTACTAGTAGTAACAATAAGAATTTAATTAGAATTGTAATTAATAGCTTCTTGTTACTACTAGTAAGGCACTTGTAATTACTAGCAAAGGAATCTACGACCTTTTCGCGCGCGCGCGCGCGGGGGGGGGGTAGGAAGCTAGTAGTAACAAGTGCATCGCTAGTAGTAACAAGAAGCTAGTAGAAACAATAAGCTAATAGCTTCTTGCTCCGTTCGTAGCGATGCCAGGAGCCCCTAGTAACTAGCGTCCTTGCTCCTAGTAGCAAGGCCAGGAGCCCCTAGTAGCTTCTTGTTACTAATGCATTTACTAATGCATTTTTGTTACATGTAAAAAAGTGTTCTGTTTAATTACTCTTTCAGGGTGCTTTAAGTCGGATGCTGTCCTAGTCTAGAGACTAGCTGCGCTGAGACAATCCGTTTTCTGGAAGATGTTTGCTCGTGATCAAAGATTCTCAACATCTAAGCATCGGAAATAGATGAGACGTAGAGAGGCAAACCCTCCAAGATCATTTGGCACACTGACGTTGAAACGCATTCTCTGATTCGTTTGTGCATAGGTCACGGTCATGGGCCTTACGGATGGAAACTTGCAAAGGCGAGAAAGTGGGCACTGAGTTACTAGGGGTCTATCAAGCCAGCCCGGCGCCACTGAGAAAGTGGGCACTGTATTGAGGCAAACACGGCACACTATATATTTATAATAGCGCATGGCCTCCACCCTACTAGCGATGGCCTCCAACCTACGTATATAAACATGTAAACAATATGTTGGGGCTCAGCCTGCTTGAGCATGTTCAAGTGCTAAGATGCACAAGAGTTTGGAAATGCTTGAAAACTGGACGCTGCTTTTTCCAACTTAGGTGACAGAGTTTGACAGAGCTAGTGTTCTTCTCCTATTTCAATGACTGGGAGAAAGGGCATCGCTACTAGGAGCAAGGACGCTACTAGGGGCTCCTGGCCTTACTACTAGGAGCAAGAACACTACTAGTAACAAGAAGCTACTGAACACCTCTTTTTTTTGTGAGGCTCTATCAGCCCCGTGACTACATGGGTGCCTACTGCAATCTCAACGCCCGGTGCCTTGGGGTACCGGACTTTGAGACCGGGCAGCCACAGGCCACCGGCCGTCGAAAAGGACTCCGCTCCAAATTGGTCAAATCAGCACCGTTATGACTTCAAGCTTCTTGTTACGACTAGTAAGGCACTTGTTCCTAGAAGCGATGCACTTGTTCCTAGTAGCTTCTTGTTTCTACTAGCGACATATTAATATCTGAGTTCATTGTCAAAGACATCCAGATCTGGGCTGAAACAAATTGAACGGTTATGTTCCTTGTAGCAGAACCTCCAACACGGAGCAAACACGGAGCACATCTTTGGGCGTACTCCCACATTCTCTATCATGATCCGGAAGGATGGGATGAGGTGATTACGGTGGTAAACATTCAAAACCTGTAAACATTGCGCTACTAGTAGCAAGAAGCTACTAATAGCAAAGGGCATCGCTACTAGTAACAAAGGGTACACCATAAACCTCTCGGATGAGGTGATTTTGGTGTTTTCGAGTAGAAGAGATGGCCGATGCCAAGGACAATTGGAATGGAGGCCTCAACTTGGAAGGCACGTTGTCAAGCAGGGGAGGCAACCAACATCCTACTTTTGGTGTGTGGTGTGTGCCATCTTTAGATTGGAGGCCATCGCTATGAGGTTGGAGCTAGTAAGAAGCGGTCGTGAGGATGCAGAAGACCTGAGAAACGGCAACAAGATCATGACAGAGTACATAATTGGACTGCTTCATACGGACCATACTAGTGGACTGACTGACGTCAGTGCCGAGGTTGCGCCACTGACTGACGATTGGTGAATTGGGGTCTGACAAAGCCACCCCGGAGGTTACGTGAAGCAAAGCTACACCATGAACGTGAGCGCCGTGACTGACGTCATTGTCAAGCAGCTGCTGGGACTTGCAATGGAGTTTGTGCGTCCCTGCTCCTAGTAGTATGGCCAGGAGCCCCTAGTAGCGTTCTTGCTCCGAGTAGCGATGCCAGAAAGGAACATGTCTCCAAGACTGCCTGGTCATACAGAAGGTTTTGGGCCTTGAACATCCAGTTAAAAGCACGTCAACTCCTTGGAGGCTACTAGAGGCTCCGCAATCCAAATTGAAAGCGATCTCAGTTTTCCGAGCAAGGATGATGTGCTCTACCGCCGCAAGCGAAGTGCTCACTCAGACGATAGGCACAAGTCAAAGATGACGTCATTCGTCCATTTTTGGCACCTATTTCACCCCAAAAGCGTCGCTTATGAAAAGTGAAGCTACTAGAGGCTGTACTTCTAGGAGCAAGGATGCTACTAGGGGCTCCTGGCATCGCTACTAGTAGCATTCTTACTACGAACGTAACAAGAATCTACTAGTTCGCGGGTGACTCAAAGACAGGTGTCGCGTGACACCTTCGTGCATCGCGTGTGACTAACGGTCCGCACCCCCGACCATCCAGCATCCCGCGACTCGGGTTTTTAGCAGTTTCTTTTTTCGCCCGAGTGGCCCTGCCTCCTTAATTATGGGAGAAGTAAGCAAATAGCAATTGAAAGCTCCTAGCTAGGACGCAGAATAGCTCACGCTCAGCGCAGAAGCGCTCGCACTAATGATTTGTTTAAATCACGTCTCCAAGAGCTTCGTCAAAAGGAATGGACAAAACTTTCACGTGAAAACGTCATTTTGTGAGGCTAAGTGAAGAGATTTCTTTTGATGAATTGATGGTGCATTTGTGTATTAATGACCTTACGCTCTGCACATGTAAGATCGCGATAGGTTTCAACTACTTTGCATCACACATATGTTTCGCGTCATGGAAGAACAGGGCGATTGTGCGCTCTATCAGTTCTGTCTCGTGGGAGCTCTTGCAAGAGATGCAAACCGTCAGGCATGTATATAGATTCCATGATAATCAACTGCTGGAACTGTTTGCTTGCTTGCTGTTTCAAAAGTCACTTAGCCTTTGCTTGCAGGTGGTAACCCTCCTCTTTTGCCGACCATTTCAGAGCAGCAGGAGCTTGCAGAGAGGTTTGATAGTGTTCTTACGAAGAAACTCATATTTCCTCTAAAAGGAACAAGAGACAGCCATAGTAAATGCAATGGTTTCATATTTGGGTATGTACTGTACTTATTTATTTTTTAAAACTTTCAAGTGATTTTTCAAGTGATTTTTTAAAATATTTAGTAAAGAGTGTCCTCCGCCTCAGATGCAACACACCGAGATGAACGGCCTTCGAACGAAGAGAGCCATCGAGCTGAACTCCCAACTAGGAAAAAACGAAACCGCTTCAGGATTTTTCTGTTTTATTTGGTTCTACTAGCAATGGCCTCCAACCGAATTCCTGTTTTTTTTGATATTTGTCTTTATGGATAGAGTGTTTATTTGAGGGTAACAAGCTGGTTGGCATTTAGAGTTCCAACAGTGGACGGTGAGGATTACCTTTGTGCCTGCTGCCGTATCCCTTGTCAAAAGTGTGAAGGCGGAGCTCCTGCGTCTTAAGGACTTGGAAGTCATTGGATGATTTGAGAAGACTTTTAAATGTCGGCTTACACTGTTGAAAGAACTCTGTGGCTTTGTGATATCTTTACGCATGAGCCCATGTAGTATCTTCATGCACAATTTGCAACGAGACTGAGGGTTTGCTCACACGCTTCAGGTACGCTGCAAGTGGGCGGTGATTTGACTGCCGTCGTGGGATGCTCAGTAGTTTGGGGAAAGATCCAGAAAGCTTTAATCAAGTAGCAAGAAGCTACTAGGGGCTCCTGGCATCGCTACTAGGAACAAGGACGCTACTAGGGGCTCCTGGCATCGCTACTCAAGGACGCTACTAGGGGCTCCTGGCCTTACTACTAGGAGCAAGAAGCTACTAGGAGCAAGGACGCTTCGGGTAGTTGCTGAGCCTATTCGGGTTGCGTCGCGACGACAACTGCCCGCAGCAGTTGTTCTCAAAGAAGTCGCTATAATCACTCTATTTTTGGACCCTCTGATAAACTGTTTAGTTATTGTTTTGCTTGCAATTTGCAAGCATTGTTGGATCTATTTTTCGCCCCCTTGAAATTGTACATTTTCAAGGGGTTCAAAACGAGCGATTATGCACAAAACACTATACAATGTGCATGATCGACCCAAGACTTAGAGATGAATGCAGCATGAAGTGGATGAATAAAATAAGGGAAGTCTGTGTAGTTGAGAGCGGGACGCTATGCGGGTGTTTTTTTTAAGTGTGTTTGGACTGTTTAGTTGCAATAGGTATGTATAATCATTCTATTACTGTGACCCTGTTTCAAATTGCTCTATTTGGTCCTTCTCACAACTTGCAAGTAGTCTAATATTTCAGGGTGTGCAAAGTATATTAATTTGCAGGCATTTTGTAAAATAAACTACACAGTTGCAACCAGCTGTTGCATATGATACAATAATAAGCTGTAGTAAAACATACGTGGTATGTGAAAACCATGTGTTCTTTCATGTTTCCTCCCACCCCCACTCCCAGACGCACCTTTTGATGCAGGATATGCATGTGCGTTTCGAAACGAACATGCTCCCCTCCTAGCTAAAACTACATAGCGATAACGCGAACCAACAGTGTCATGTCTCTCTGCACCTTCAGTGCGGGCGGATTTCTATTTGGTTTGTTTTGATCAAGCAGTTTCTGACCGCCACAAACTTTTTGATCAAGTAGTTTTCTTTGCTTTTATTTCTAAAATCGTTTGCCACAAAGCGCCAAAGTTGATCAGTTCATCATTTCAAGAGCGTGCAGAATTGCCACCTGTCGAAGTGCCACTGCGCCTTTGTGTTTATTCAACATGCATGTGTGTGTATACATATATAGATTTGTTTTTGACATGAGGGCTCTATCTCCACTGTGATCACGGACAAGTTGGAAGAGCTGCGTGGCAAGGCGGGCCTACCCATTGCTTCATGGATTTGTAGTCAATCATGCGATCCTCCTTCCACTTCACTGCTAAATGGTAGAAGGATTAAATGATTGGTAACTTAGTTGGTCATTCGAATTTGCTTGTTTGCCTGCTTGCGTGTTTGTTTCAAGGTTAGGGCTTCTGCAACCCATCAAATGAGACTTGCAGAGACACGAATAAGGAAGGTTCTTACTTACCTTATAAGGCTGTCATCGTCAGACTATTATTCAGGCCACAGGATGCCATTGCTTCCCTGGTCAGGTTTGTGGTTCCAAAGGGGAATTATTTCTTTCAGTTGGTGTGAGCAAACCTGGCAAGTTTGCTGCAGGTGAGTGCGGACAACCTCTTCTCGCCTTCTGGTGCAAATGGGCAGGTGCTCCCCAGACAATTGGCACCCAAAACACTTGGTGCTTCAAGCACAGTTGGTGCCCGTAAGCATTCTGCAAAGCGAGCTGGCATCCCTTGGGCATGCTTGCTTACATATCGTGCTTCGATGCCTCATGTCATTGCTTCGATGTTTCCACCCCGAGATTGAGATGCTCTTCGGCTGGACAGGTCTTTACGGACATGTGGAATGAGGCAAACCTCTATTTCAATGAGGCACGAGATGAAATGAAACAAGATGATGAGATGATCCAGATGTGAACGCCACTGGCATCCGGTCGCAACCAAAACGCAAAGGAATAGGGCCATTTTTATGGTTTCTCTTGCCAGGACGTGCACCGCATGCCATGCTTTTTTAGCGTGACCAGGTTTGCCTTACGTCGTGCAACGCAAACTTTGCAATGGTGTTACTTGGACCGAACTCGTGATGTTAAAAAAGCACGAAGCACAAGAAAGCTGCTCTGAACGTTCTGCATTTGGAATTTCCTCTAACTAGCGTTGTGATGGTGGTGTAGTGTGATGTTTTGTGTTATTTTCAAGACTTCTCCGGTTTGAGGAATGCATCAATGGATGACTCGGACAACACCTCAACCTCAGCGGTGCGAGAATATGTCTACAGCATGGCTCCCGACAACGACTTAAAGCCGGCCTATGAAGCGATTGCCGGCTATGTGGGAACTAGGCGGAACAAGTACAAGTACACGGGTTGACAGTGACGATATCACAGGATTTGCTGCAAGCTTTGCCGTAAAAGCTTGCCAGGGCTGATGCCACTACGATCAAAAACGTGATTCTCGACAACTTCAAGTTCGATGCCTTGCCGTTGGACCGTATGTAAAAACACCAACGAGTTATTCAGTACGCTTGCAAATTTTTGTTATTCAGTACCTTTGGGTCCTATCGTCTTTTTTTCTCATTTTGGCGAAATTCGTTGGTCCACCGAAATTCGACTTCATCCTGCAGGACGTTTGCCCCTACAGCGCTTATCGATGTATCCCAATGCCTGGTGTGGAGTTTACGGAGCGAAGCGCTGATGTGAAATGCCAAGTCCAGTAGTCTACCGTTAGCCTACCATACCTGGCCGTTTCGTGCTATGAAGTGGAGAAACTTCTAAAAAGCCGTTCAAACCAACGGCTAACATGATCTAAAATTGCATTGTTTCGGTGTAAAATGCAGCAGGAGCTGGTCACAGATTCGCCCTATTGTACTTTCAAGATGTCAGCTGAAGTGATTGCCGGTGTTGGAGACGCTTTGAGCGGTACTTTTGAATCTTTGGGCTTCTCGGCCTCAGATTTGCCACGGTACCAAGTGTGAATGGAACGGTGCTCATTTTTGGAATCCCAGGGACGCTACTAGGAGCAAGGACGCTACTAGGAACAAAGGGCATCGCTACTAGGAGCAAAGAAGCTACTAGGGGCTCCTGGCCTTACTACTAGGAGCAATGTTTGAGTAGAAACAATATAGCCTTTGTTCATTCGAGGAAGTAACCCGGGGGACTGGCCGTCGCTAAGGTTTGAATGCCATGGGTTCTTCAATCATGGACACTGTGGGCACGTGGATTGGAGATTTCCAGAATGCCATTGATGCCTTCTGCCTGGTGGGGAGAGACTCGAGTCTTCAAGTTTGGTCTCTTTCGGTCTCTTTCGGCTCATCTTCTCCGAAATCTTTCCACATCCGCTTGCTGCAGCTTGACATGTCCCACCTGGAGAGGGCTATACAAATGATTGCATACCAAAGTATGGGGTTCCTCAGCTTGCCACAGGTGGTGCTGAGCTCTTTCATCATTGGCTTCATCTACATGGTGTCTTGGACATGTGTGAGTTAAATGATGAAGGACCCAATACAAGGAGCGGGATCAGAGCCGTATTGTGCCATACTGCCAACTTGGTTGTATTTGAGTTTGACAAGGTCATGTTGCGCTTCCTGATTGGCATTTGCGTGTGGAGCAGAGATTGTCAATCTTTTTCGCACTGTCAAAGCACAAGCACAGCTACAATCATGTAGATGGAATAGAGGGAGCTGCTTTATCGGTGGCATGTGTGCCAAGGTGTGGCTTTCCGTTCCATGGCGGCAACCAGGACATACATACCAAATTAAGAAAATCAAAGAAAGGTTCTAAGAGCGATGGCCTTAAAAGAAAGGATCTAAACGAGATTGACAGTTTGGAGTCTCAGGAATATAAGGGATTGCACCAGTGTGGCTGCGTTTCTTGCGTGGCTTGTCTTCCCATTTCACTTGTGAGGTCTGCTTGTTCTTCATCGTCCTCATATTGGCTGGCTTCTTTGCCTTCATCTCGTCCTCGCGCTGTTCTGGTCCACATGCTCAGAAGTGAACAGGGACCGACGGGGACCGATGGGGACAGACGGGATACGAGTTTGAGCCTTTACGAATTTCCCTTCTGTTTGGCCTATTTTCGGCCTTTAGATCTGTACCAGTAATGTGAACTTAGGTTGGAGGCCGCTATCAGGAGCAAGGACGCTACTAGGGGCTCCTGGCCTTACTACTAGGAGCAAGAAGCTACTAGGAACAAAGGGCATCGCTACTAGGAGCAAGGACGCTCTTAGGTTAGAGGCCATTGGTATTCCTTTAGAACTTTGGAACTTAGACTTGGTTTGCTGAGGTACCAGCCTTTGGGAGACTGGTCAGACAATTGCGCCTTGGCAACAATAGCGCTTTAAGGTTTACCAAAAGGGAGAATGTAAAGGGTCTACGGGTCTCAGTTGGCCATGTATTCAAGACCAGTGTTCCTTTCTGAAGACAGGTCCAAGAAAGAAGAACACAAGAACATATATATATATATATGAAAAATGAACACAACATTGACAATTCTTTGTAACGTACTTTATTCCTTGCAATCACTTAGTTTATTTACTGTTCCTTGCAAAGAATTCTCATTTCCTTGTGACGAGTGACGATTCCTCGGTCCAGTGCGATGGGACCTCGCCAATCCTACTGTGGTTAAGGTAGTTGGTGCCTTGACGACCGCTTCAGCCTTCATCTCAGCAGTAGAAACCATTCTTTGCTTTTGGTAGACTTCAACTTGGAAAAGTTGTAGGCCATTGCTGTTAGGTTGGAGGCCATTGCTGTTAGGTTGGAGGCC